GTTTTTTTTTTTTTTTTTTTCGTTTATCATTCTTCGCGGACCGTTTTTTCGGGGACACCCTGTCAACGCGTTCCACGAGATACGATTTGAATGTACACACTCGCACACGCAATGTTCATGTGTATACGCGATAGACTATTTCGGAATACGGATACAGGGGTGGGGTAGGGTGGGAGGGGAAGGGGGGACAAAGGGAAATAGAGAAACGACAGCTTTACCGATAGCGGGACAGTAGTTATTTGCAACACGTGCACACAAACGTAATGATACACACGCATACACATGTAAAGCGATCCAAGCGATACACAACAAAAAAAATTGTATGAATATAACGTTTGCAGTTAGGTGGGACCAAAAAACGACTTTATATCTCTATGTGCATATCCAAGCAACGTGTAATTTAATTAATGAATTAATTAATTACATTATCCATTATTAATGACTAGGTAAAGTAAAAGATCCATTGATAGCGATCGAGAACGATGACGAATGATTAACGAGTAATTAGCCTATTAAGTTTGTTTATTGATACATTATTCTATGATATAATAATAATTATTATTATTAACTTTATTACCTTTATTATTATTATTTTATTATTACATTGATTAAAATGACGATGATAATATTATTTAAACAATGTTTTAAGGCGATTATCTAGATATCGAGTAGAGAACAGTACGTATCTATAATTATTAATTATTTTTAATTATTATTATATTCTTATTATTATTATTATTATTATTATATTATTATGAGACATTTTGTTGTATTATTTTCAATAAAATCGATTGAAAAATATTCAGTTTACCGATTGGTTAATTCTCGCTTCTCCGCATGTATCGTGCAACTGCATGTTTCCAATTTCTTTCTCGTGTATGCGATATTAATCTCGTTTACGTTTAAATTTGATATTAAAGTCACGCAAAGTAATTTATGTATAAGGAAGATCTAACGAAAGAAATTGAAACATCTCATTGTTTATACATGGGGAAGCGCGCCTTATCCCAAAGTCTGTTGCGATCTCAAAAGAGCGTCGTTTGCAATCACGCCAAAGTTTTTTAAAACTAATAGAGATATCTAAATGTATTGAGATTAAATATACTCGAATTTTTTAAATTGACTGTTTATCTTATTGTTCTTGAATTATTTTAAAGAATAATTGATTATATACAAAATATAAATGGACTAAAATATATATTAATATCTAATAAATAAAGGAAAGAAACAGAAGAAATAATGAAGCAACATAGTGCACACCAAGTAGTACAAATGGTATTTTAATTCAAGAATATTATTTTTTTACATATCAATAATCAAAACCGTTTTTTAAATCTATCCGTTTTTAAAATAATGCATTAATATTTCGAAATAATTTGCGATATTCCATGGGAATGTGGAGAAAGATTTTGCAAAATCTCTAATTCTTTTAAAAAACTTGCGTAGGGAACGAAGATGGTATTTGTGATCGTAACCGCCACCTCTGTATATATACTTTCTTTCCCTTATTTTATTTTGATTAATTAATTGTATTAACCGCGTCTGTATACGATTATCTCTCTCCTACCCTCCGAACACCCAATCCTTCAAATCCCTCCTCTTCGTACCTCTCTATCTCCCTCTTACTCTCACGTGTCTCCGGATAATTTTCGTGGCTCGGTAGAGCGGGGGGAGGACGGAATAAAACTACCAAAAGTGAAAAAAACGGGGAATGCGAGGTAAAACGGGGGTAGAATGATATAACAAAGAGAAAGTCAGAGAGCGTATTATTATGGGATAAAAAAAAAGAAATAGGAGAAGCAAATGATGGAAGAGAAGAAGAAGCCACGGAACAATAGACAAATGAGAAAAATAGTTGTAAAAGTCACACATATAAAGATGCGTACACACATACACACACGTACACGAGAAAAAAAACACAAATGTACTAAGTAAGTTCATACTGCGTTATTGCCTTTCTGACTTCGGTGTGAAAATATATAAATAAAAAAAAAAGTCAGTCGCGCCGGGGCACGTGTATGTTCGCGCATACATATTATATATTATAGTTATTAGTGTTCGACGAGAGAGACGAGGACTAGCTGCTTCCGCTTCTTCCTGCCAGCCTACATTGTACTTTTCTTCTTCCTTTACATTCGCTTCCACAATTCGATTCTTTCATTGAGAACTCTCTTCAACGGCTAAAAAAACACTTTACAAACGAAGATCGGCGACTTCCGGCTTTATGTCCGATCGAAGTCGCGTCACTTTCCTCTTTCTTATTTACGAGTTCTCTTGGGATTTGTATTTAAAAGAAACTCACTGTGTTTCCGGTTGATTAAGCCTTGTTCGTCCTGGAGCAGGCGGATGCGGAAGCAGCGGACGGCAGTATCCGTCGCGAAAACTTTTTTTCACGGTTCCGTATAAGAAAAAGTCCCACGCCGAAGTCCGCGCGTCCCCGCCGACTGTATCTGTTTCATGTTTTTCAATATTTGTAGTTTATCGATAAAATTATAAAAGGTATCGATACATAACAGTCTAAAGTGTGCGCTACTCTATATATAATATTATTATATATATAAAAAGTATAAAAGTATACATTATATATATATTATATATATATACATATATATTATATATGAAAAGTATAATATATATATATTATACATACATTGGGATTGGTGAGAATATACGGTTTTTTCGCTTTGGAGTGTTATTTTCTGAAAATATTGAACAAAATATGGAAAAAAAATTAATAAAATCAATGAATAAAAACAAAGTCGTCTCCGTGTGATTTTTTTATTCTCACCCGATATGCGACACGTCATCAACGACAGGCAATTCTCTGCTGGATTTTGCGATTGCATTCATATTGAGTGACTGCACAAATGTGAATAAGTATCTGATGCTAAATAACTTTACATGTCGCGTAACACGGTTTTCAGTTCATAATATATAAAATCGCTCAATATATTAGAGTTTAAAAAAGATTTGTCATTCGAAGAAGACCATAATGAATTTAGAGTTTAAAAAAGATTTGTCATTCGAAGAAGACCATAATGAATTTGTTAAAAAGGATAGCGAGGTTGTCCAATACACTTATATCATTAATTTATAATATTCAATGAATTTTAAATAAAATATTTTATTAGCTTCTTTAAAATTAGTATACGAATAAATTTAAACTAGTGATTTTAATTTGTGTATGTGAAATTGGTAATTATGATACGGAGGTATGTTTGCCTCATACATTTTAGATGTTTGATTAATTGATTAATGCAAATATTATTATATTGTAATATAGTAATAATTCTGTAAGAATTTTGTTTTTTTATTCTTTCATCGTGTTTATTGAAGTATAGACGTTTGAAAGAATTATGTATATACCAACTCTTCCAAGCATTTTTAATCATCTCAACGAGAAGATTGTGAAGATTGAAACGGAAGAGCCACAATATGTTATTGAGTGAAGTTGCTAATATATGAGTTATTTAAATTGTATAAACTCTGGAATTACTCGAGAAAATATTTAATTGAGAAAATATTTAATTGCTGCAGATTGCTAGGTAATCTTCTAGGAATTAACGACTACAAGACTAACAAAGCTGCTTTTTGGTTCTTGGACACCATAGCTCTTCAAGTTCTACGTTTCAAAGACTGTTTAGACAATTATTATAGAAGTGTATTAATTAGCTGGTTGGCTGGCGAAATGAAATTAATTCGAGGTAATTTTATTAAATTGATATATTGATAGTATCAAAATATTTTCTATATACATAGAAAGAAATATATTTTTATGTAAATATAGATTTATTGAAATAAATTTGGTCTAAATCTGAATTATTATATAATATTATTACACAGCATAAGTAAATTAAACATGAATCTAGCATAATAAATTAATAAAAAATACATTTTTTAGAGACATAGATTATTTTTATAGATAAGAAATTATTTCGCGAAGACTTTTTTAAAGAAATGAGGACTTTATTTATTTATGTCGCTAAAAAATTATGTAGTGACGATCGATTGCCGCACTGGGAGTTACTTATGGATGCATATTCTGAAATTATGTCACAAAATTCTACCAGTGAAACGGAATATTTAATTACAAATAAACTATCTCAAAAGGAATTAATAACAGAGAATAACGAACTTACGTCTCAAGAGAACAAACTTTTCTTTATCGACTTGAAAAATTATGATAGTGGAAACAGGTAAATTGAGAACATTATAATTTTTATTACTATAAGTTATACGCTATTTTACACTATTTTACTGTAAAACGTATTAATTTTCTAAATACATTAAAGACTTTTATTTTAGCATGATAAGTAATTTACAAAAGAAATCACCGACGAGTTCCAAAATTTTCTTAACTACAAAGAATTCACAAACAAATACAAGTGGAAATGCGAAAATCAAATCTTCGAATTTAAACCCAAGTGATGTACTAAATATAATTGTTAAAGCAACATACAGCATGTACATATAAAGAAGATACAATATATTATTTCAAATATTTTTTATATTTAAAAGAAAATAAATTTTATATATACATATATAAAATTTTATCGTTATATTATTTTTTATCATTATTTATTTTTTAAACAGGTATGCTAATGAATTGCGTTATTTCCTTATATATGAAGTTTTTGTAAAACAGATACAGTTACAGATTTTTCATATGCCTCATACTTTTCGGACAGCACGTCAAATTAAACTTGCAGATTCTGAAAAAGGATTGTTTCACGTAAAACTTCGTGAACGATTAAAAAAAATTGCCAGTGAATCAATAATTAACGATAATGATGAACAATATAATGGTAAAGTAAATAATTATATTTAGTTACATATATGCTGTTTGATATAATATACTTTATACTATTTGTGTATTTATATTAATATCTGTTTTTTATTTAAACATAATAATGCTTGTTTTTTATTTTATTAGTTTTATTTTTTGTTATAATGTATCCGCAATATTACATAATAAGTAAATAATTGTAAGTAAATTTCTTATTTTTAGAGGAGAAAACAATTGATAATACAAAGGAAGAGAAAGAAGAAAAAATGAAAGATTTAGACATGGAAATTCCTCCAACACCACAATCTTCTTTAATGGAGGATGAACTGTTAGCCAATAATCATCGATTTATTCTACCATTGATAGAAGCTAATGAAGCAGCACAAATCTTCGAGATGCATGCAGGAAATATATGACATAATAAACGCAAATCCACAAGATTGAAAAATTTTATTTATTTTGTAACATCTAAATTTTATTTATTTTGTAACATCTAACAATTTAAAATAATGTTTAAAATAATGTTATTCCGTGATTATTGCTGTACCCCATTCATGACATTTGAATTTTTTCACTGTTTTAGAATCTAATGATTGGATATCTAGTTTGACAAAATTATACGAATTTTTTAAATCCTGTTCAAGTTTTCCTAACTGACCATACTTGTTAGAACCACAGCCCCAAATGAAGCCATCATCTGAAGAAGAAACAGAGAAATCATTTTTAGAAAAAATATCTCTATTATTGCGTATATATAAAGAAAATTAATTTTACCTGTTAAACATACTGTAAAGGAATTCCCGCATTCGACTTTTCTAATATTAATTTCGATATTTTCTCCTTTGTCATTTTTAAAATCTATTAAAGTTGGGACAGCATAAACTTTCTTGTCTTTGCTTCCAATTCCTAATTCTCCATTTGAATTCCATCCCCAAGTATATAGATCACCCTATCATATTAATTTCATTTATAAATGAAATAAATGAATATAATTGACTAATTTTTATGTACTGACCTGATCAGTGACTACAGCAGAATGCCAACCACCCGCTGATATGTGTATTACTTTTAGACCAGCTAAGGCCTCAATAAGCTTGGGATTATCACAATCTTCTAACTCATTATGTCCTAACTGACCACGTCTGTCATATGTGTGTGTAAATTATGATAAACTTTTATTTATTAAATAACAAAATATTTCTAAAAATAATTTTGTGTAATTTTACATACATTCCCATACCCATGGAATAAACATCACCATTTTCTGCTAGTAAAACAGTATGGTCAAAACCACAAGCAAGATCAACAAATTTGACTCTTTTTGGCATTTCAATTAAAAGTGGGGCATTAAAGACTCGTCCTTAAAAAATAGCAAAACTTTTAAAAATATAATTATATAACAAACAATATAGAATGCTTAAACTAATATTTTTAATTACATACCTAAATTAGTTAAAACTACTGTACACCCCGCTTGTGATAATTTGATGGCGTATTCAGTCTGTATGTTGTCGTTGCTGGGAATAAAAGGTATTACTTTTTGCCAAGCGTCATCATACACTTTATATTTCCAGATTTCTTTATGTGTGGATAAAATAATTACACTATCTCGACCAGGAATAGCCATTTCACAGCTGTATAAATAAAATAAATTACAAAAAGTGTATAAATTAAAAGATATTTGGCAAAAAGGAAAATATTTTGTGTCTATTGCCTTCCTGATGACTCTTCTGGAATTTGTATTAAACGTGGACTGTTTTTATCATCTTTCTCACTGATTTTACCAGTGATATATAATTTTGTATTTTGCCATAGTAGAAAATAATTCCAACCAATCTCAACATCTGTGATTTCAGGAAATGGAATTTGAGATAAATGAGATATTGATGTGACAATTCCATCATGATTGGAAAAAAGTGGACTGGCATTTAAGCCAGTATAATACACCGACATATTTCTGTAAATAATATTCAATAATAATATTCAATAATGTAATATTGTTTCTTTAATATTTTATCTTTAATTTTCAATTACTTTAAGAATTCTATTATCATTCTTAAATTTAAATACTTAATGAAATTATTTATCCAATATATCTAAACATTGAGTTATTTAAATTATCTGATATATCTGAACGATATCTTAATTATTGAGATATGATAAAAAAATAATCTGTTCTTCATAAATAAAATTGTAGCGCGTTTATTTATTTATCTACTGTTGTTTTACAAAGTAGCATTAGTATTCGCACATGGTATTGCAACTTTCGTTAATGGTGGCAGATGATCAGCAAGTAACATCAGTTAGAATATGCAGATGTCACCATTTTCCTTAGATACCAGGAAACAACATAGTACTTTGATATAACGTAACAGAAGTCATCGACGTATCGCGGTAGATTGTTAACGTCTTCGTTCCAGTACCTGAAATTATATACCAACAAGAAGATGGTAAAAATGTCACGTGAATTAAATATAAATGCACAATATTATGCACTTTTTTTTCCTCCCCTCCTACCACCGCCTAATACACTCTTGAATGCACGAAGTAATTGAAACATAACCTGTGGAAGTTCTTTCACAGTATACGACTCAAAAATTAATATTTGTACTAAATGATCTATGTCCAAGTATCACAAATTGCAAATGGCAAATTGCAAAATACATTATCAAATAAAATATAGAATTTTCATCACCTTTTATTATACAAAAAAATCACTGGTACTTTCTGTGCACTGTATACATGTCTATACACTCGCATGACATCATAAGCTATATCTTCATCGTCATAACTCTTAATCCTAGAAAAAGGGAATTATCTTTTTAAAAATTGCAAGCACTGATTGTACATAAAATTTAAATACTATTTTTCATAAACATTTTGATAAATATAGAATAATAAAATAATATAAACTTATTAAATAATTTGTTAAAGAACACAAACTTGCATTATTTGTTTTTTTCGATTAATATATTTAAATAATAACTGATCTGTCATAATAGAACTTTTTACGATATCAATTTTTATAATAAATAATACAATATATTAAACAATAATTTAAACAAAAAAAAATATTTTTTTTCAGATTAGTTATTTAAATATATTAATCGAAAAAAACAAATAATGCAAGGTTGTGTTTGTTTTTTACATTTCATATCAATTTATTATCTGTATTCAGAGATAACAAAGCATTTATATTAATAATTAAGTTACAAAGTAATTTTAAATAGTTTTTATACAATATTTACAAATAATTGGCGTTTAAAATATTAGGGTTTACTTGCTATTTTACGGAAGTTGCGATCAAATCCTGATAAAGAATTACGACTATTACTATTGGGTCTGGATAATGCCGGGAAGACGACCATTTTGAAGTCTTTGGCAAGCGAAGATATTACGCACGTAAGATTTTTTTAACTTGCACAATTATTTATTAAGAATTGTAATGAAAGTCAATTTTTTTAAAAAGATGTTTAGTATCTGACGTACAAATTACATAAAATATATATTATAAATAAATTGATTTTTTAAGGTGACTCCAACGCAAGGTTTTAACATAAAAAGTGTTCAAAGCGAGGGTTTTAAATTAAATGTATGGGATATTGGTGGAGCTCGGAAAATTCGACCTTATTGGCGAAATTATTTCGAGAATACGGATGTACTTGTAAGTGCCTTTTTATTTCATTTTGTTTCATTTATTCTTAAATTATTTTCAGATTTTAAATACATATTATCGTGAAAGTTGTGTGTGTGTGTGTGTGTGTGTGTGTGTGTGTGTGTGTGTGTGTGTGTGTGTGTGTGTGTAATATTGCAATAATAATACTATAAATTTGCATGTAGAGGCGAAATTATTTTTAACGTTATAACATAATTCTACGAATTCTTTTTCTCTTTTTCTTTTGATGTTAGAAATAAAAATATCAAGAATAGATCATGTTTTTGCAAATATGTGATGCTTTTGTGAACTTTTTATACACAAAAATAAAAACTGTCTATTTTAAAATAAAAACATATTGTAAAATTCTATAAATAATAATTGTGACAATTTATAATTTTGATTTAGAACACAATGTTTTCTATCGATTTTATTTAACAAATCTTACAAATGTTAATTATAATTGTTCAAGAAATGTCTATCACTTTATTTAAAGACGATTTCTGATATTTTAAGTTTATTTTACCTTTTTAGATAAAAATTTAAATAAAAGTTTAATAATATTTGTTGGTCATAGATTTATGTCGTTGATAGTGCAGACATCAAAAGGTTGGAAGAAACAGGACAGGAATTATCAGAACTTTTACTAGAAGAAAAATTACGCGGAGTGCCATTATTAGTATATGCGAATAAACAAGACTTAGGACATGCTGTGACAGCAGCCGAGATTGCGGAGGGACTCGGTTTACACAATATCAAAGATCGTGATTGGCAAATACAATCGTGCATTGCTATCGAAGGCAAGGGTGTGAAGGTACGTAGTAGATATTTTCCTGATTTAAATTTTAAAATGTAGTATAATAATTATGTGGAATTATCATTTGATCTGTATTGTTTTTTTATATTTTAGTATATAAACATATAAATTGTTAAAAACAAATTAGCTTAAATGAAAAAAATTTTAAATGTATAATTTTACGAAATTTTATACTACATATATATTTATATTTGCATCTTTAAAAATGAATTTCTTCTGTTTTCAGGAAGGTTTAGAATGGGCATGCAAGAATATTAAAAGGAAGTAATAAGCACGCCGTGGAAGTCGGGAAATACGACCGATGTTTATTCCACATGTTTAGGACGCACGAAAGGAACAGGCTTACACCGTCCCTATTGTACATTTTACACATAATTTTTATCTTTAAACTACTATTTACAAAACAAAAAGTTATTAAGAACATGTTGTTGTTTGTGGATTCGGTACAAACGTATAAATGTCGAATGACATTTTACAAATCCGTATCGAACATATCCATTTGTCGGACTTCCGTCCATTTTGGACTCAAGAAGTTCTATTTTTCACATAGAAGAGAGTCTGTAATAGCGAGTCCATAAAGTATATTGCAAATTAACGTGCCTTCTTGCTGTTTAACTCTAGATTAGAATTTTTATAGATTTATCTCGTAAGAAGTAATAAAGAATTGGAACAAGAGCGAAGAGACACGATATGTAATTTATATAGATACAGTTATTAATATATTAAATTTATACGTATTTATAGAATTTGAGCACCACGTATTATTGCATTCGCGAAAAAAAGTCGCTGAGATACGCTAAAATATAATGTGCAGCATGCACGAGGTATCTGGCTGCACTTCCTTCTATCTAAATCGAAGAATATATAAGAAATTAAAAAAAAACGTGATTTTTAATAATACCGTTGATTCAGTAGCTTTTAATTAGAGATAATTGAAATCTGTATCGTTTTAACGTAATTTATGTTATTATCTTTGCCACAATATATGACCATTGAATTTTAAATTTCTCTTAACTCTTAATTTAAAATTGAAAGTAAATCTTTTGAGAGTTTTTAAGAAACTCAATTTTAACCTAATAACATTTGAACCAATACATTTATCATGTTGGTAATACAATTGTTTTCAACATTATTATTATATCATGATTTTAATAACCTATTTTTTAATATAAAAGTATTGCGTTCTATTTTTATCATTCCAACCATACGAATAAAATTATTGCGCTTTGCAATAATTACAATATTGTATATGTGAGAATAACTGGGTATGGAATGACAAAATTATATCGAATTTGTTTCTAAAAAAAGAAAAAATATATAATTCTATTTTTAATATTATCATTAAGAAAATTACTAAACTTAACATAATTTTCTCAAATATAAATCTTAACAAACTGTAATAATCTGCTAAAAAAAATCAAAAAAATTGGAAACTTTTTATTAATATTATATGTTTTTTAAAAGCTCTGATTCCAGAACACTTACATAAATAATTTAAATAATTTAAAGAACTAAAAACATCTGATTCAACGTTAAATACTTATGAAAACATACAGATAAAAACGTTTTTAGATATTTTTACGTATAATTATTCATTAAAATTTGATATTCAAAATTGATATTTTATAATATTTTTGTTCGTATATGCAAAAAAATGAAGAGATTCTTCTTAATAATTCAGTCATTTTTATCAAATTTAATTTGTCGCAATTGTTAGCACAACTTCGTTGCAACTTCGTTTGCCTAACTTTGTTAGATGCATTTCATTTCGTACAATAAATATGATAGAATATATAAGAACACGGTTTCTGCAGCACATTTTTCCAGTTTTAGAGACAATTTAACAATCAATGTCTTTCACAGGCTTCGAGTTAAATTCAAAGTTCGCTATGAATATTTTCCGTAGTCACCCTTATCTCCTCTTCGTGGAAAGCAGTACAATCTGCTGGATATTTACTCTGAAAACAGAACAAAAAAAAAGATTCAGATTGAATTTACTACTTATAACTGAGATAATACAAAAAAATCAACGATACAAATATATTTTTATTAGCATTATTAATTATTTCCTTTTTTTGGTCTCATGTCTTTTTTCGTCTAAATTAAAGATAGCGATAAGAAATTTTTTATTAATTTAAAATACTAAAATAACTTTTCTCTCTTGCTTTAATTTAAAATGTATTTTCTCTCTGTTAACGAACTATTTACTAATTTACTCACGATGCATCCCTCGTTCTCCATGATGGCTCCGTAGAGAGACCAGAAATTAATTCCTAACTTATTACTGACTGCCCAAGCCGCGGGGAAACTTGCTACCCTGAGCAATCCGCTACGTACGCGTGTCTCGGTGTTCTCATCTTGTTGACTCTTCTCATTTATGGTACACAAGATTTGACTAGCACAGTGCGGCACTTTAGTCGCCCATTTGTACGCTCGGTACGACTGGAAATACGCAAATATTTGTGAAAAATTATCCAAATTTAATTGATATAAATTTAACAATATGAATCGTCGTATAGTTATCAGAAGGTAAAGTTCTTATCTTCTTAGGTATAAAAATAAACTAATTGTAAAGATTAATTATAAGATGTTATTCAGTGGTAGCTTAAATAAATTAAATTTTTAGAAACGTTAAAATGCTAGAAACGCTATTTGAATCCAAGTAGAACAAAATCATATAAAGATCAAGACGACGTCAAAATGATGTCTACATTATTGATATAATCTTGATGAATATCATTGAATTATGATAGCATTTTGACGTCATCTTGATCTTTATATGATTTTTTTGTTCTACTTGTGAAGAAATAATAAAACCATGAAAAACTAAAAATCATGAAAACTAAAGAAGTAAAACTGCATATTTCTTTGTGTGATTTGTGTAATTTATTCTATACGTAAAAAGTTATATTTACCTTAAGGATGGGAGCGATAATGTCATTGTTGATAGTATCGCTTAGTCGGTTGCTTAATTCTCGTGCATTTACTCGGGACATGATAAAACCTTTTTCAGAGGCTAAGCTTACTAATTCTTGGAAATACGCTATCGCTGGCCTTACGTACTGCGAGCTGTCGATTTTCATATTCAAATACTTCTTCGCTATCCCATTTGCTAATCTTTTAGTAAAAAGTTTTATATTATTATATGAACATTTATAAAATTAGAATTGTAAAATTAAGTATTATTATAAGTATTACTAACCTGGACAGACTTTCCGTTGGTTTTGCGACATCAAACATCATTGTTTTTGGGAATCCCTGAGATTTCAGAAAACTGTTGCCGACGAACTGCACTGTCGTAAGATAACGTTGCTGATTCGCTGGATCAGAAACATGAGAGATCCATTCGGCCACAAAATTTGTGAGTGACTTGATCCATCTTCGACGTACCATAGGATTTTCAAAACTGTCCAGAATCTTCTCCCATAGAATATTGCCCTGCTCGTCCGACATTTGAGCAATTACTGTCGATAGACCGCTATTTTTCCATAACGTTTGCCCGAGTTCTGAATTACTAAAATATAAAACATATATCTATCTATTATTTATATATATATGTATTATTATTATTATTATTATTATTATTATTATTATTATTATTATTATTATTATTATAGAATTTTAAATTCAAGCAAAACTGTATTTTTAACAAAAAAATGTTTAATAAAAAATTTTTTCGCTCTTGTTTTGTTTTATTGGCGTAGAATTGATATTTATGCTGTCTTTCATGCTGTTTTTAACATATAGTTGGCACAATACCTGAAGTGCTCCCACATGACGTGAACGTTTTCCAATATCGGTGGCAAGAACCAAGAGTGTCCCGAGTGATCTTTATTCCCGGCATCGTTGTCGTTAACTCCGTGACCGAGGGCTTCTAGAAGCATTGGCACAAGACCCATGGCTACGTCGCTATTGGCATTTTGTTGCAAGAACATGCTGCCTATGTTGACTATGTTGGCCCAGTCTATGCCGGGCTCCTCCTTATGTTCCGTGTCTCTCATCGATCTTCTACCAACATTGTTGCTCGCACTCAACGCGCCCAGAATTGAAGTCACCATCGATAAGTCGAAACCTTGATTATTTTGTCCACCTGACATCAAATTACTGATCCCCGAAATGATTTGTCCGACATCATCTATCGTGGATCTCTTTTCGAACATCATGTCGCCGACCTATTCATTTTATATTCAAATCTTTTAATGTTGCGACCATTTTTACAAGTATTAGACCAAAATAAAACTTTAAGCCAAATTAACAAGACGTTATTTTTACTTTGGACATTTTGACAGATTTTCACTGCGTTAAAGTAGAACAAAAGAAACACTAAGAAAAATAGAATTAGAAATGTAAGAGATCAATTAAATTAAAACTGAACTGGATAATTTTCTGAAAAATATATCATACTTGCTTGCCGGTATCCGAATGTGCGAATGCCTGAGCCATGTTTTCGAGTGACTTCTTGGAAAAGAGGTTTCTGGCCTCCTCCATGAAGACACTGGACGCGTCGTCCTCATTACTCTTTTCAGAGTTCACCAGCCCGATTAGCACCAACAGGAGCGATGTCTTCGACAACCACATTCTCTGTTTCTGTAACACAACATTTGGTTAACGCGACTATTCGACGATCTTCCTGCTGAGTAATCATCGAGGACTCGATGTTGCAATTGCATTTCTTTGCAATTTAATATCACGCAATTACAACGAAGCCTCATTGCATCTTGACCAAAGGCAGAGATCCTCGAAACGAGTCGTTGACCTTAAAGGCACATCTTGCCTCTGTTCAAGTTTATTTCGAGTTTATTTCGAGGAGAAGAAACCTTTCGCGAGGTCGTTGTCGCGAGGATTTTAAGCGCGGGCGACATACCGGAAACGTTTCGGCTCGTGGCCACTTGGATACCGTTGTTCCTTTAACGTTGTTGTTTTATCAGTGTAAGTAAATTACATTTATGTGCATACTTTCGCAAGAGCATACGAAACCATTGGTGACGAACGCGTTGAGTCAGCATGCAAAAGAAACATGTAGAGCGTAATTATGTCTTTACATATAATGTGCAAGTATAAATAGGTACACGTATGTATGAAGAAGTCATAAATTTGTGACTAAACCAATAAATTATTTAGTTAGCTCGTAATTGTTCTTAACAATATTTATTTGACAAAAATAAATTTTATAATTTTGGTTCGATTTGATTTAATATTTAACATATTTTCATTTACAATTTATCGATTTATTTAAATTTGAGGATATAGAGATAAATATGGAAAAATGGATTCTTTAAGATCAGGCTGAATAAACAAAAAAAAATGCGAACTTTTACATAATTTGCTAACATACCTCCTATTTATTTCTGCTAACGAACGCACGTTATCGCTTATCATTATTGATTATCCTCGAAGATCAAAATCGTAGCAACTGTCGCGAACGGAGACAATGACGATAAATGATTTGCGCAATGCCAGTGTATACTAACGCGCAATTTGAGTACCGTAAACCGCGTGAAATTGACATTCTCCAGCTGGAATAACGATTCGGACTAACGGTACGGACTGTTAGTCATCGTTACCCCAACGCGTCGAAGTCGTGAATGGCAGATCTCAAGAATAAGGAGTATAGAGTCGATTCGACTGTCACATCCCTTGATAAACATGATATAACATAACTTAATAGTGCGTAACACTGATAAATGCCATGGCCTAAAAACAAAAAATTATTGTAGAAATTTATAAGTTGCCTACTTCAATAACAAACTATTATTAAACGTTTCCTTCATTTTCTGCATTTTCTATGCCTTATATCTATATCTATATCTATATCTCTTTTGTATTTTGAATTTTAAGTAACTTTTAATATTTATTAAGCCATGATACCATCTATTTTAGTTATTTTTTTATAAATTATTTTAAAAGTTATGTTCTAATATATAATTTGACATTAATCAATGAATATGAAAAAAAAATTTGCATTTAAAAATTGCAATGTATTCATTTTTATAAAAAAAGAATTAAAAGAGGTAATTGGAAGTAATTTCACTTTTGTTTAATTTCATTTATATATTTTGCAAACATTTCTAAGAGTTACATATAAAAATAAGAAATAAGGAAGCCAATTTCATTCTCATTGTCGAGAGGGAAAGCGCGTACGAGATTTTTGCAATGTCGTCGCACGCGCGACGTGATAAAGAAAAAGCAATGACCGCATTATTTGTGAAATTAAAATCACACAGTTGCATTTTTTTTCATATTTTTTTCATAATAAGCAGATTATCTGCAATAAGCGGATGTCAGCAATTTAACAGCTTTTCAAGCAATAATTCTCAAGCTTTCAAAATTATCGGCATATTTATGAAAATTTTTGCCAAAAAATATAAATTATTTCAATAACGATGCTCTTGATATAACAGTATGATATTTCTTGTGTAAAAAATAGTGTGTTGCATGTCATGTTTTATAAATCATTACGAAGATGTTAATCATATAAATTAATTAATATAAGTTAAAGCAATTAGTGAAAGAAACTGAAGAAAACTCTTGATGTTAATTTATTTATATTTATTTATTATGTTAATTATAAATATTTTAATATTCATCTATTCAGAAAATTGTTACAAAAATTGTTTTTATGTAACAATTAATATTATAAATGTTATTTTTTTAATATTCATTTTTTTAACATTTATTATTGATACATATGTTATAATTATAATGATTATTAATTTCACATAACAAAATTAATAATGTAGTTATTAATATAAGATATTTGAATAAAAAAATAAATAGCTTGAAGTATAAATTTTGTTAAAAAGAATTGTTTTCCACAAAAAACCGTCGCTAAATATATTAGTTAATTATATATTAGTTTATTATTGCGCGAAGAATATTGCTAGGTCATTTAGTTTGCGGTTTGCATTTATAATTGGGTCAAGTTTTAACAAATGAAATCATACATTTATTCAAAAAGTGCAAGTGATGACTCGCTTATCGTTATACCGATAAAGGAAGACCTTGGCTGACTAAGACTAAAAGCATCACTGAAGCACTGTACATTATCGTCAATAATAGCGGTAACCAACTAAAAAATGATCAAAATTTTGAATAGATACTTTTATGTAAACACGTTTTATCATATTGTCATAAATATTCAATATTCAGAATTTTCCAACTCAAATGTGCACAATTACATTTTTAAATACCAATATATCTTTATGATCTATTGTATGATATGTTCTATTTAAATATTGATATGTAGGAATAGAGTTCTTAATAATAAGAATTGTTTTTATTGCATTTTAAATTATGTATTATCAATTTTATGTTATAAAATCCTTTTAAGATCTTTTTTTCATGATCAGACAATTTGAGTTCCACGTTATATATATCTTGTTTGCTCCCAATGTTTATGTCAAATTATATAATATGTCCAAATCTACTTGACTTTTATCATCAATTTGCTTTTATATTTTGTTAAAAAACTACTATATTCTCTTTGTTAATATTTTATCAACATTATTACCTATCATTATATTACGATATCAAATCTTATATAAAATTTGTGGTCTTTTTATAGGTAAAATTTGTAATAAGTACTTTGCCAAATCTAAACAAACTTAGTTATGTAGATATATAGTTTGTTAACAAATTACGATAGCGACAAAATAACGACAAAAAACAAATAAACTTTGGCGTATTTTCTGTAACGCAGATAAATTTAACGCAGATTGTCAGAAGAACTCAAACAAATTAAACGTAGGTTCCGTTTTATTTCTACTATCAATATGCATCAAATTTTATATATATACATATGTGTACATACGTGTACACACGCACATACACATAAATATATAAAGTATGAAATACGCATCTATTTGTATGTAAACTTATATATAAATTATGTGTATATAAACTCATTTGTATTTCAATATTCGAGAATACCATGTGCTAGTTCAAGTTCAAGCACGTGAGACGTCCTTTCTCTTACGCATAGCCATGTCGAGGCAGTGGAACAGTTACTTAACATCTCGGATATAGTCAGTCAGCTCGTAAATTTCGCCAACGTGATCAGCAAGACAAACGAATCCCCCATAGATTACAATTACACGCGTGGTGGCGGCGGAATTGCCGGTTGAAAAATTTCGCGTGGCCGCGCCAGCAGCAACGGTAATCGCAGTCAAGTAGAGCGTGTTCGATGGTGTTTTCAATGTGGAAGGGTGATACGATCATTAAAGCTCGAATTGCCGTTACGTTATTTACGACGAAAAAATTTCGCGTATAAAATCTCGCGGAAAGATTGGATCTGCGAAGGGTTGATTTGCGGAACGCGGGAAATTAATCCTTTTAATGAATAAAAATTACTTCTTGTGACGTCATTTACCGTGACGAAACTACTATGAATGAGAAATACGTCAGTAGTAGCAAAAAAAATCGCTAGTTCAAAACTATTATAATTTATAATATTTTTATCAATATAGAATAGCTATTAGCATACAATATCTATAAATGAAATACGTCAAGTACGTTAAATATAATGCAAGTGCAATGACACTCTTGATTAAAGGCACGAGATAGGATGTAATTATAAAGAAATATAAATTCAAAATAAAGACTACTAAGGTAAAATAGTTTGAATTTGGCATATTTTATTCAATCCACTGTCACATTTGTATTTGAATGAAGTTCCATCAAGGAGCTTCCCAAATAACACGAAATTTCAGCCAAACACTTTATTTTATGTTCTCAGTCGCACAGCCGCATAATCTACTTTCTTACACGTCAATTTCACAAACTCGTAAGGACACGTAAACGTTCAAGCATTTTAAGAATCCACGCGCTCTCAATCGGGGACCGCTTTCAACCGGAATAAAAATCGTAATCACAATAATGAAAATCCTGTTATAATAATTTGTTTCTCTTCACATACCTTTGGAACCGATGAAAAATCTTCAGGTTGCCTATGTTCAACTGCGAACGAATTATCCGCGGGATAGGGTTTCTTCAGGAGCCCGTGCACCTGACACGATGAAGGTTGTGGCGTGACTGGCGTCAGACATAGCCCGTCGAACGGTACTTACCTACCTGAGCAAGTCCTCTGGCTTTGGAGCGTAGAAGCCGGTAATACAATGCACCGCCAGCATGCTTTCGACTTGATGCAGATCCCTGCATCACGACCGGAATATATATTCGTACTCGCGTGAATTTTCGCGCCTCTGCTTCGAAAACTTCGAGCTCGCATTTGAATTTTTATATTTCACGCAGTAACACACGTCAAATCAATTTTAAAAGGTGTCTGCGATGTCGATGTTTTGAAATCGATTGGTAATTTTTTTAATATAATAATTATCACACATTGAAAGATATATTGTTATATGGAATATTCTTTTCTTAGCAATTAAGAAATTGTAGAAATTGTATATTAAGAATTGTAAATTTGTTCAATGTGGAAAGTTGAAATGAATAAATTTTGTTGCAGATGCGGATAACAATTATAAATGAAACAGATAAATTTGCCTCTGAAACAATCTAATAATATTAGATTATTTTAGAATTTATAAAATATATAAAAGAACATAGGAATTTATAAATTTTCATTTTAATTAATAGCTATTTTCGTATTAATTGGAAATATGATGGTTGTATATAGTATATATATGTATATAGTATATATGTATATATATATATATATATATATATATATATTATATATATATATATATATATATATATATATATATATATATATATATATATATTATATGCAGTTTTTAATAATTATAACTGTTTATAAAATGTTCTTGCATGACAGCTGATAATACAATACGGTCTATTAACGTTAGGTACGCTAGATGACTTTAGATAAACATCTGATGTTCCCATCTGATGCAGACATTACAGCATCGCAACGCCATGAACGATCTAATCGGACAATGTTCCGCTAATAATGCCAATTGCAATGAATGAACGTTTGGAATTGCGGCAGTGAAAATTACCGTTATCGAGATCGAGTTAATACTGTCAGTTTTTATCCAGGTCATGGTATGTAAATTACAGCTGTGTGATGTGTTTCCTTTTTGGAGTCCAACGAAATGCCTCGCGACCCAGCTGAAGGAATTCGGATACCGGATAGAGATCAAAGTCTTACCGAATAAAAAAACATCTCGTTCGACCTTCCCTTCTCGCAATGTCGTCGTAACAGATTGGAGTTTCTCCGTGGTTAAAACCGGCTTCGATACACACAACAGATACACACAAAAGCCTCTTTCGGCGGACAGTCGATGACCCCGCGAGGAATTAGGGAACGTGCGTCCGATGAAGGTGATGCTGGCCTTCTCAACTCCGGATATCAAGGTCGCCTGTACATCGCGCCCGACGTGATGCGAAGTGGTCCATGGAAATAGAGAGAAGAGAGACGTTTAACCGGTTACGAGCTGTGACTGGATGCTAATTTTTGAGTAACCGGCGATTATAGCCCGTTGATATCCTGTTTACTCTGTCCAACTAATTGATACTTCCAAGTTAGAGTAATAAACTTCTAATATTTTCAGCGACGAAGAATAATACCAAATTTTTCTAAAAGAATTCCAGCACTCTCAACTCTGTACAGATGCAATCGAGATATTAGTTGCAATTTTGTAACTTTCTCTGCTTCTTTTTATAAAAACAAAGATATAATATGCAATTTTAAAGAAAGAACTAAAGTTAGATGATATATATTTTAATTTAAAAAATTTCCAATAAATTATACACTGCAATATAAATATGTCGTAATTTTTCAACGTCCGTTTATTTTGTATGACATATGCTTCGCAGTTCATAAATAAGAAATTATAGAGTTCTAGTTTCTCCACAACATACAGATATACCTACGTATATCTTCTATAAAAGAGAAAAGATTTTAAGATTCGAATATGTTTACAAGAGACAAGAAACCCGCGATCAATATAATATACGGACGATGATTCACCGCGTACCTCAAGGTAGTGGTTTTGTAGATTGCGATATTCGTAGCGTGCGACTTTTTTTCAAGAAAAGATCTTCTCGCTACATTCCGCGGTGTCTCGTGAAAAGTCAGCGGCTGGGGACGGTCGCACGTAAATAAAAGATGCAATACGCGTATCTTCGAAAAAGATACTTCCGCGTGCCTCGCCTTAATCTAACGATCGCATATTTGCAACGGAAGTCCTCAGATTCAGAATGATCTTCCATAGAGATGTTACAGTAACATTGTCAGTGCACAGATTTTTCCTTAGTTGCGTCGGCATCTGGCCTGTGAGAGAGAAGAACATTTTTATGGATCTCAGATGGATTATCGCCGTAGTTTTAGAAGCAAGTAGTTTTAGAAGCAAGTTTTAGATGAATCACTTCTTATGTGATGTAAATTATTTCTTTTTATAAATATTATACATTATTTTAATAAAATAATGTATAATATTTTAATGTTATAATTAATTTAAATATTTTAGCGAGACGCTCAACGAGAAGACAGTAAATTTTAGTAAATTTTATTTATGCTCATTCGCTGTATTTAAATATTCCAATTGTATATTTTAAGTATATTTCTCTATTTGTATTGTCAAAAATTCCTAATGAATGTGATTTTTATGCAGATGTTATCGAAAACTTATATAATTCTACGTCACATACAGTTATCTCGAATATTAAATTCTTTTCATATCTATAATTATCGTCCGGCAAAATCGCATTTGAAATGTTGATGAGGATAATAAATTTCGAATTCTACATTCATATTTTTATAAATTTTTATACATCTTAATGTATAAAATAATCAATTTCATACATTTACTAATTAATGTAATACTGAAGAGTCAATAAATTTTATCGTCATGCCTGTTATTATTTTTTGTTCACTCCTCTCTCTTTCTCTCTTTATACTATAGAAAATATTTTCTAATCTATAATCATATATATATATATATATAAACTGTTCTGTGAAGTATGTATATATATATATATATATATATATATATATATAAAAAGTTTTTTTTAATAACTGACTGTTACAATATATATAATTCTTTATTATGATTTTTTTAGGTGATTCCAGTGAGTATTTATCTCACCGAAATCTACCTACACTGTAATGGTGCGAAAAAGAGCTTCGATTGGATAACACCTAGTGCTGCCGGCATGTTAGCTCTTACGAGACTAATCACACCGCGTATCCATCGAGAAGAACTAGTCGAGATAGTCACCTCCATGATGGACGACTGGGTCATGCAGAAAGATAAAAAAATTCGTTGGGTCATGAAGAAATATGCAACAATGTCGACACGCGTGACGGTGCTTACCTTCATTCTGGTGGGCATCATAGTGGCTGTTTATATCGCTATGGCGATATCGGCAATTACCGCGAAAATAGAACAGTTTGATAACAACAATGTGAGCACAAGCCATAAGGATGGAATTCAGTCATGCGTATTTCATAGCGCATCGTCGCATCAAGCGTTTATGATCGTCCAGGCGATGCAAATGTTCGTCACTGGTGTACTAACTTTTGGTACTACCAGTTTCTTCTTCGGATTAGCCATGTATCTATGCTCCCAATTCGATGCGTTGAGTATTAAATTATCCGAATTCCAAATTAACACGGCGCATCGCGCGATTGCCGAAGCGGTCCAAAGGCATTGTCACCTTATCCGGTTAGCCGAGTGTATGGAAGAATCGTTCAATGCAAGTGTTTTGGTATATTTGTTCGTGACCAGCACTCTCATGTGTATAGATGGTAATGCACCTTTAAACAGAAAATTGTAAATTTGAAGACTCCTTTAAAAACAAAATTTCTAATCATGGGATTTATTTTCAGTCTTTAAATTCTAACATAGTATACTTTATAAAAATAACTTTTTATTTGAAAAATAAAATTATTTATGCTTTATTATCAAATAAATATATAAATATATAAATTAATATGACTCTAAGGTGCGAATCTCTACATGCGATGACATTTCAATAAGTTTGTATTGGCTTTATATTAAATTGATAAATTTTTGGAAATAAAAATTAATTATTTTATAAACTAAAATGTAAAATATAAATATTTTCAAGTTTTCCTTTTTGTAAATCTAATTTGCAATCTTCATAATATAATGTCAATTCATATCATGCCTGTTCTAGTAAAAGTTGAATATTTTTAATATTTTTTTTTGCAGGCTACATGTTAATTGCCTCATTACCTATTGGCGATCTGCCTATGATTATACATAGCGCTAGTGTTTTACTTCTTATGTTGATTCAACTGTCGTTCTATACATTCGCTGGTGATTATTTGGAGATGAGAAGTAGTGCATTGTCTTATGCAACTTATGATTGCAACTGGTACGAGCTACCAGCCAGTACGGCCAAGAATTTTCAGATTATTCTAATGCGAGCCAGTATTCCCCATCAACTAACAGCCGGGAAATTTGTGATTATGAACATGATAACGTTTAAAGATATCTTAAAGTCCACAGCCTCGTATCTTTCGGTTTTGCGTATTATGTTAGATGAATAAATAATATATACATTGTTGAAAATGCGCAATATTATTAATTATTTATGTTGCAATATTGTTGATTACATTTTCTTCACGATAAACTTACATAAAATTTGTAGATTAAATTAAAATAACTTAAAAGAAAGTTTTTAGTTGTATTTTAATTTTTAGAAACACGCATGGAATATCACGATATTTTAATACAAAAATTTCCTCTTTTTTCTTTAATATTCAATATTTTATATTTCTTATCCTTTTTGCTTTTAGAGAGTTACTTCAGGTCATGTCAATGATACAAAACGATAGAGTAACGTTCTGTAGTAAAGAAAATCGTAAACTGCATGTATACTGCGTTATACGATATATATTTCGATTTCGGTTAGGATTGCAATGTAGGAATTGAAATGTATCATTATTTTTGTATTTTCCTTTACGAAAGGAGTTTTTGCTCCAAATAAAAGGGACGATTGTGCTGCATTGCATATCGTATTCAAGCAAAAACATTCTTGTGTATTATGGGCTGTAATCAGCAAAATTTTCAAAAGTTTGTGTAACAACTCTAAATCACAAAGCAACACATCGTATAGAAATATATAATTTCGCTGCGTCGATTCTGTTTCCGTGTAGCGTAACGTCGTTCCGCGTGAATAAAAGATCAAAGGGAAACGCCTCGCCCTCAACGACATGGGTAGTGAGGCTTTGCTTATCGCACGCCAGTCAGTCCGGAACTTAGCTAACGCACAGTGAAAAAGAACCGAATAAATCTTTACCGAAAAAAAAACGAATATCAGTAAATTCGCTGGATTTGTGCGTGATAATTATTTATAATTATAATTAGAGCATTAAATTGATTTTTGATTAATATATATTTAATAAAATAATTTACTTTTTTTATCGTCCATTAAAATATTGTTTAACTCTACAAGTCTACGAATATAGCGCGTTTAATTGTAAACCAATTATGTTATTCCTTTGTAACATTGCTGTATTATTTCGAATAGAACTAAATAACTGAAATTTTGATTTATATAAGAAAATAAAATACATCTGTAAGTCTGATTTTTCAATTAATTCTTAGAAAGGGAACGTATAGTGACATCTTGACAAATATTAATAATGAACGAAACAAAAGAATGGAACGAAAAATCTCATTACGCTCTAAGCGTTTATAAAAGAGTTCTTAGTATAATTGGAGTCTGGCCTTTGACTGCGGGAGAATTTAAATCAATCGCACGGTGTTCCTTAGCGATCTTGCTTCAGGTAAATAATATTACAAAGATAATTAATTATCTACATAATTAACAATCCGGATAAAATTAAAGATATCTTCATATCATATCACTCATTCTTTTTTGATCGTATCTTTGTTTCCGTTTTTTAAATGATTTTTTAAACAAGAATATTTTACAAGGCATTTTAAGACTTACTAGGAGTAATTAGCAATTCAAAATAAAGAAATCGCGAATTAACGCGATCCCCTCGGCGACTAGATAAGTACTATCGGCAGCCTGTCTCTGGAAGCGTACCGACAGTGCCTCGGCACCGAAGATATGATGGAGGCTTTTCTAATGGACCTCTCGTCTGTCGTCAGCCTCTCCAAACTTCTCGTGATCCGCTTTACTTGGAGGCATACTTATGTCTTGGTAACTTCTCTTATCGATGACTGGTCGATATCCCGGGATTCCCGACAGCGAGAGATCATGATGAGATACACCCATGTTGGCAGGATCGTATCCTTAACGATATTATACCTGGGCTACGCATCGGGCGTCTCGTTCCTTTTCATGGCCGTGCCGTTCGACCGTTTGATACCCTGGCTCAATATGACTAAAACAATGAACGATAATGACACTATGGTGTCGACGTATTTCTTGGCGACCTATTGCGTTTTCGGATCGTTGCCTATGACCGTTCATATTTGCGTCTTGTTGCTGCAAGTGGCGCAAATCTTCGTCAACGCCACATCACATTGCGGAAACGATGGTTTCTTCTTTGGTCTCGCGATGCACTTATGCGGTCAATTTGAGGTACTACAAATGGATTTTGCCCGCATCGAAGTGGAAGAGCGAGCCTGTAAAAGGAAGATACGGATGCTAATCAACAGGCATTCCCATCTGATAAGCTTGGCTGATAGTTTCGAATATGCTTTCAACATGGCCATCTTCGCACAATTATTAATGAGCGTACTGCTGCTTTGTGTGGAGGGTATTTTGTTTTATTTAAATTACGTAATCCATATTCCTTATTATACACATTCTATAAAATAGTCTACAACTGGTCTTTGTTTAACAAAAATAATTGTACTTTATATTAAAGTTTGATATTAATTAGTTTTATATAATAAACATATTATTATTTATTAAAGTATATATAATTCTAATACATGTTTACAATTTTTTTATACAATTTTATTTTTTCAATTCCAATTATATCATTTACATTAAATTACATTTACATTAACTTGATAATATAACTATATATACATATATCTCTTATTTAGATATTCTCTAGATAAAACAATAAATAAAACAAATATGTACATATGAATGTTACATTTATACATGCCAAGTTCATTTGGAATAAATATTTAAAAAATTATATTATTGCAAATAAAAAATTTCAGTAAAAAATTTCTTAAACAAAACTTTCAGATTTTGAAGATAAAATACTTGGAATAATATTATTAATGTTATTTTAGTAAATATTATATATTATTATAAATACAATAAAATATTGAAATTATATCATACCTGTCTATAATAATTCAAAATTACTTACTTTCAGGTATGCAATTGATAATTTCATTGAAGTTGAACGATAATATCGCAGCAATAAAACATGTTGTCTTGATCTTGACGATGCTGGTGCAACTGTATCTTTATTGTTATGCTGGCGATCAATTGGAGTATATAACTGGCAAGATCGGGTACAGTGTTTACAACAGTCCCTGGTACAATTTTGATGTAAAGATAATGAAAGATATGCCCATGATAATGTTTCGAGGAAGAATACCTCATCAAATAACAGCTGGGAAATTCCTGCGGATGAATTTATTTTCATTCAAAGAAATTCTCAAAGCTACAGGCTCTTATCTCTCTGTCCTCAGAGTGATGATAGATGTGTAATATTGTCACATGATCACAAATTATAAGTGATATCTTCAAGACGATGTTTTCTATTTTCATTTTCTTCAGTCTTGCATACGAATAATCTTATATATATTTATGTGCGATACTGATTGAACATATTTTGCTAAAATAAGAATCATGATCAAAGCTCGAAGGTTTATGTTTGTTATGATGCGCAATATAATAAAACGCGCAATATTATACCTTGACTATCATTAACATATGTTAAAATAACAAATTCATAAAATTGTTACTGGTTCGTTTCTCAGAATAACCTTTAGAATAATTTTCCTATTCCGAAGAAAATAAAAGTAAACGAATTTATATATCAATAATATTAGTATGTTGCAAAAAAGATTTTTGTTATAATATTATTTAATATGTAACGATCATGTTCTGAGAAAATATTAAAACAATATTAATGTCATAGTTCTTATATTCCCCCATTACAATTTTTTCCTATATTATATAAAGACTTTCCTTTTTTTTCTTTTTATATCTATCTAAAATCAATGTACAAATTTTTCCCTTGAGAGTAACAGTCTCAGAAAAATTTCTTAGAGAGCTATTTATATATTTTTTATTTATCGCAGAATGGAATATATAAGCGGCTATAAGTCTATTATTACAGATATTAGTACACATCATCGAGGACAATATTTTGTTACCGTATAATTTGTACAAATACGTATGCAAGTGGAAGCTATACTTGCATTTTTCAAGAAAGTCACGAAAGCCGCGGGACTGAATAATGAATTAGAAAAAAATCCAGTTGGTCGGTTACACCACGAAGGGTTGCTTTAAGCATTGTCTGTACTTGTACCTATCACAATCGAATATTGAACGATGCAGTTATTGTGGAGGAACGTAGACAAAGAACTACAACCGCTTTCGGGAAGCGGATTTGGAGGAGACACTTGAAAGATTCAGTGCAACAGTCGGCGAACGAAATAAATAAAGGATTCGTCGCAAGCTCAAGTTCTGAAACATATGAGAATGGAATCAGACATGAATTGGAATACAGATACTGAAAAAGTTTTGAAATTTCATAAACATTTCCTTGGCATAATTGGACTTTGGGTATTAGATGAAAAGAGTGTATTCTCAAAAATTCGATGGTTTATATCGACAATGGTGGAAGTAAGTTATGCTTTTTTACAAATATTCAATACCATTTGTATTCTTACATATCCATATGTGTACCTGATGTGTACCTGAATCTTTCTGTTACAAATAATAAGTGTGATACATTTATTTATGCATTGTATTATGTCTTTTTACAGAAATATATTAATATATTTTAGACATCCCCCCCCCTCCACACACACACACACAACACACACTACACACAACACTACACACACTACAACACAACTATATATATATATATATATATATATATATATATACTATATATATATATATATATATATATATATATATATACAATATTACATATATTATATATGCATTACGAATGAAATAAAAAACGTTGTACTAAAACGCAATATCTTCTTCTATTTGTGAATTAGATGAGTACATCGGTCACTTTATCACTAGAAATGATTCGACATTGTAATGGTCACGAGGATGCCATGGATGCCTTTTTAGTAGGGTCATCATCAATAATCAGCATGATAAAACTACTCTTACATCGTGTATATTGGAGACAAAAATCCATTTTGGTGAAATCAATTATTCGTGATTGGACTTACGTAGAAAATTCTCACTCGCGTGATATTATGTGGAAGTACGCGTACATAGGTAGAATGGGTTCCTCGACATTCTTCTACTTCGGTTGTGCCTCGGTCACGTCCTTTGTCACCACTCTCGTGCTCGCCAATATCGATCTATCCTGGATCTCTGAAAAGCAGATGTACAATGAAACGCACGAAAGAAAATTGATGTTAGCAGCCTATTGTACATTTGGAAAGTATACATCTTCTTTTGCTTACTGCGCAACTGAAATTCTGCAGTTCGTACAGATTCTCGTTAATGGCATCTCGCAGTGTGGAAACGATGGGTTCTTCTTTGATCTCACGATGCACATATGCGGACAATTCGCAATTTCTTCGGACAAACTTCAGTAAATTGGGTAGCGAAGACTTTTTGTACCGCAGCAAATTCGACATCTTGTTGAAGAGACATTATCGTCTTATATGTTTGTCACATTGTCTCGAGAGAGCATTCACTCTGGTCATCTTGGCACAAGTGTTGATGAGCGTCCTTGTCTTGTGTGTAGAAGGTAGATGTTATTTTAAATAAACAGTAATCAAATTTGTCATTGTAGAAGTTCTGGAACATATATTACGATAGATATATTCCACTAAATTTATTTGCAATTTACAATTCACATTTATTAATTAGCTACTCCATATCAAAACACTATGTCAAAAGTAAAAAATTTACAAAATTCCTAAACATATCACTAATTATGTTTATGGTGTCGTACTTTTAGGTTTCCTTTTACTTTTCTCGCTTAAAACGAATGACTCTATTACCGCAACAAAACATGGCGTTTTCATTGTTTCACTGTTGGTGCAACTTTTTCTCTACTGCTTTGCCGGACAGACGTTGGAGTATCAATCGCAAGGATTGGCTCACGCAATCTATAACTCATCATGGTACACTTTTGATGTGAAGATGATGAAAAATTTACCACTGATAATTCTTCGGGCAGCTAATCCTCAGCAGTTGACTGCAGGAAAATTCGTAGCAATGAATTTTATGACTTTTAAGGAAATTTTGAAGGCTTCCGCCTCATATTTATCAGTATTAAGGGTAATGATGGACACGTGAGTAGAAATCTTTTTAGCAGAAAAGTAGATGATTTAGTTTTTCTTTTATAAATTACTTCAACTATACAGCTAATATTTCATAAGCAATTGTAATTATTAACAAACATGTTTCTGTAAATGGTAACAAATAAAGATATGTAATATGATAAAATGGCAAAATTGTTTTTTAATTATATTTATTGTAAATACAAAATCATTATAAAGACATTTGAGCCAATGTTAAGGCACAGTATATATAAAAATTAAGAAAAATTGTTAAAGTAATTATATAATATTACAAATAATTTCTATTAAATTTTATTTATTGCAATAAAATAAATACATATGATAAATAAAATTAATATTTGGGATGATAAAATTACTAGTTTCACAAAATTTATCACTGTTCTGACAGAAGTGACTACAGAAGTTAGCGAAGGAATGTAAAGACATATGCACCGATCTCTTTTTGCATATATTTTACCGGTACATAGGAAGAATTCTGCGCAAGTTCATAAAACATGAGTTCGACGAAATAATAAGCTAATATAGTGCAATTGATAACGTAAGATAATACTTGATAAGAGCAATCGTAAATCGATGACAAAATTTAGTTTGTAACAACTGAACGAAGTAGTTTCGAATGGATGATCATTCGAGTTCTTCCGCTCGCTAGAATGACGGATAAACGTTGGAATGATGACATCGCTTATAGTTTCTTTACTCATAGAATATTCTTAAGAATATATGGTTTGTGGCCATTGCAAACGCAGACAGTATTCACGAACATACGATGGAACTTATTTTTGATTGCACAGGTACGTACAAGAGGGATGGCAATATAGCATATACGAACAAGAAACGCGCAAAAAATTGAAACTTGCGGAGTAATTTCATAAGCAATTTTTTTCTAAATAATTTAACTTGAAGAAATATAATTTTTCTTCTTAACATTTACTTTTTCTGTTCAATAGATGCTTATTATAAAACATAAAAAATTTATTACACTTATTTATTTTTTTATTCATTTATTTATTGCATTATTGTATTATTCTTTACATTTATTAGTATTTGTGAACTTATTTGTGAAATTATTAATTTCTAAGTCAAAAGAATTGTCTAAGTCAAAGAATTATTTAGTTTATGATATTACCTTTTCTGCTGGTGGATTCTTTTTGGAGTGATAAAAATGCTGGCTCAAATATAGAAAATATATTATATTTCACGTCCACGGTGACCGGAATCATTAAAAATGTATGTGTCAGAATTAATAAAAAAAAACTGGCTACGAACATTAATGCTGCAATCGATGATTGGTTGTCTGCTAAGGATAATAAAGAAACTCAGATGATCATGAAGAAATATGCGCTTAAAGCCAGAATGCTTACTTTCACGTTATTATACTCAGCAGTCGGGTGCTTTAGTATTTACGTACTTGCCATCGTATTTATAAATTTGCAACAGATATATTTTATGGATAAGAACTTAGTGGATGGTAAAATTTGTTTGTACTCATTATTGTGTTGTTAATGATTTAATCTTATAATCTAATTATATACTAAATAATTGTAACGTTATATTTTTTATTCTTATAATATGCAGCTAATACAACAAATTGGATACTTTTTATTCCATGTGGTCCATTGAGTAAGTCAATCAATGGTTTACAGTTCGTGATAATCCTGGTTATACAGATTCTTCAGACAATCTCACTATGTATTATATTATCTATCGTTGATACTTTCTTTTTTACTATGACAATACATCTTGCTGGTCAACTTGAAGTGCTTAGAAAAAAATTTACAACTTTTGCAAATGAATCCGACATCGAGGCAAATTATCGAAAAAAATTCGTCAGTTTGATTAATAGACATAGCAAATTAACGGAATTTTATCAAAATTTGGAAGATACCTTTAACTTTCTTATATTATCTCAACTTGTATCAACGACGATTATGATTGCATTAATAGGTAATATATATCAAAATTCCATATCTTATTTCTTACGTTATACAAAATATCTTTGTGTAAAATCACACAGACAACATATATACATATAAAAATTAGAATTTAAATTAAATCAAATTTACTATTTTAATTTTATTTATCTTGTCTTATACATACTTGTACTAAAATAGAATGCTTATTTTTAGGAATGCGCATAAATCTGTGTATAAACGAGAAAAATCATATTGAACTAACAAAGAGTGTGCTTGTCCTGAACTACTTATTTATGCAGTCATTGATATTTACCTATGCCGGTGACTTCCTGCAAACGAAAAGTGAAGATATATTTCATGCGTTATACGCAACTTCCTGGTTCACGCTTCCTTTAGCGTTGATGAAGGACCTGCATTTTGCGATGATGAGATCAAGTGTTTTGCTTCGTCTAACCGGCGGAAAATTTTTCTATGTTAATCGTGAGACCATGATGTACATGCTTAAGACGTCGGCTTCGTACGTTTCAGTTTTACGAATAGCATTAAGAAACTAATGCTCAATAATATTCATATGTATGCGTGCATCGTATGTATGCGTATATATGAAATGAGAATGAAAATTTTTTGTTATAAAAATTCAGATCATATAAAATATGTAAATATATTTTATTAATATTTTATTAATAATATTTTAAAACATATGCAACAAAGAAAAAGGATATCTATAAAGCATATATAACTAATTATTTGATTAAATAATTTGACTTAATTATTTGATTAAGTCATTATGTTTATATCGCAATTGAAAAAAGAATTCAACGATTTTGTAGAATTTTATTCTGGACAATATATTTTCAATTTACTCAAATCTATCATTATTTAATCATAATCATAATCATGATCTATCATCATAATAAATAATTAATGTATTATAAAATATTATATGCTTTAATTAGTTTTGTATTATTCATTTTTCTTCACAAAGTTTCTTTTATTTTTGTGACAGTTTGCTATATCTATATTTTTTCCATAGCAAATTTTTTTATACAAATTACATTACTATATTGTTTCCTATACAAGATTTTGCCGGAGAAATTTAAAAATATGAGAAGACGCTCTCTGAATTATTAACGTACCATAGAAAAATTTTCGTTATTATTACTTAGTTTATAATATTTCTATCGTAAAAAGATATAGCATCAAAAGATATAACATCACATTTTTTCTATACAGTTCTTTTACCTCAATATTCTAATATTTTTCAACTTTTTGTATTTTATTACTCTTCCACTTGAGAAAAAAAATATATAAATTATTTCTTCAGAGAATGATAGGACGACAAATTCAAGAAAATGTTCCACTGTCGCAACCATAAATTATTTATTTATCAGTAAATATAACTTAAGCGGTTATAAATCTATTATTTCAAAAACTGAATAGGTATCGAGAACAATGTCGCATCATGTGTAACCGTATTATTTGTACATATGGAAAAGCAAATTATATTTCCGTTCTTAAAAGAAATGATGAAAGCTGAAGATATGAATAATAAATCAGGAAGAAATCCAGGGAAGTCCAGTTTCGCGAGGGGTTGTCGCAGCGAAACAAATGCGGATTATACCTATAATAAATCATATATCATGTGCAGTTATTGTAGAGAAATGAAGGATTACATTTGCTTCTAGCGAGGAACAAACTAAAGAAAAGCTCAATATTGAGTATATAATATAATTATAATAAATATTGGATAAAATAAATTGGAAAAAAGTTGCAGTCTTAAAATACTTGAATATGACATCGACTGTGAAATGGAATGCTAATATTGCATACGTTTTAATGCTTTATAAACATCTTCTTGGTTTAATTGGACTTTGGGTACTAGATGAAAAAAAATATTTTCAAGAATTCGATGGTTTTTGTCGACATTGGTGGAAGTAAGTTATATTTTTAAATATTATTAAAAATAATTCATATTATTAAGATTTTAATTCTATTTTCACATTTTTCTTTTAAAATCTAAAATAATAAATTTTATCCATATCATACATCTTGTTTAATTGATGACCTTTTGATACACTAAAATTAAAATTTCTTATAAATATTAAATCATATGTTACCAAATGTAATTTAATAAAGCTAGAATAAAATATTTATGCAAGACTTTAATGACATTATTTTATAAATTTTATAAATTAGTTGAGTGCAACAATCAGTCTGTCATTAGAAGTTATTCGACATTGTCGTGGTCATGAAGATGCTTTGGATGCTTTTTTATCAGCAAGCACGTCAGTGATTAGCATGTCAAAATTACTTTTGCATCGCGTAAATTGGAAACACAAATTAATTTTAGTGGAATCCATCATCTATGATTGGACTTTTGTGAACAATTCTTATTCGCGCAATATCATGTTGAAGTACGTACGTAGAAGTAGGTTAGGTACTTTGGTTTTCTTTTATTTTGGATGCGCTTCTTGTGTATTCCTCTTTTCACCCTTTATATATGCCAATTTCGATTTGCTTTGGACTTCTGAAGAACAGATTTTCAACAAAACAAGCGAAAGGAGATTACTTTTAGCAGCTTATTGCGTCTTCGGAAGTTACACATCTCTTACATATGGTTTTGTTGAAATCCTGCAAACATTACAAATTCTTGTCAACTGTCTCTCTCAATGTGGAAATGACGGATTTTTTTTCGTTCTTACAATGCACGTATGCGGACAATTTGAAGTTCTCAGAATGAACTTCTCTGAAATAGATGACAAAGTATTTTTTAGTCGTAACAAATTTGATGTTCTGTTGAAGAAACATCGTCGCCTCATTTATTTGGCGCATCATCTGCAAAAAGCATTCAGTTTGGTCATTTTATTACAACTTTTGATGAGTGTCCTTCTATTATGCGTTGAAGGTATATATTTTATTTTAAATGAATTATAATTTACGTTTTTATAAAAATCCTAGGACAATATAATATAATGTAGCGCTAATCTATTTAATAATTTTTCATATAAAAAATATATAAAAAATGAAGAAATATAAATCAAGCATTTCTATAATATCTTCGCTTCTGACGTAAAATTACGAAATAAATATACAGAATGAAAACCAAAAAATTGCAAAAAATCCATTATTATATATATTATATATTATATTATATATATTATATATATATATATATATTATATATTTCAGGTTTTCAATTAATACTCACACTTTCAATGCATAATACATACGCTGCTATGAAACATGTTCTTTTTATCGCTGTGTTGCTAATACAGCTTTTTCTTTATTGCTTCGCCGGACAGACATTGGAATTCCAATCACAAGGACTGGCTTTTGCGATTTATGATTCACCATGGTATACTTTTGACATAAGCATAATGAAGAATTTACCGTTAATGATCCTTCGAACAATTCATCCTCATCAGTTAACAGCAGGAAAATTTCTAGCAATAAATTTCGTAAGCTTTAAAGAAATTCTGAAGGCTTCCGCCTCGTATTTATCTGTATTAAGGGTAATGCTAGAAACGTGAATCAGAATTCTTTTAGAAAAAAAATATTTTTTTGTCGCATAACGTTGCCTTAATTACATAATTAAATATATTTTTAAAAATATAATACTTTTCTACCTTTTCTGATTGAGTTTAAATTACTTTTTTTAATTATAATATAAATAAGATCTTTTATATGTAAATAAAAGAACAAAAATATATATATAATATGTTATCGTTATCAACTACATAATAAGAGATAATGTAAAAGAAAACAATAATTTATAAAAAGTTATATTTTGTCTAGTATTACTTATAATTCATGTTATACTTCAATGAATGAATAGCATTTTTGGTTAACATAACAATAACTTGAATAGATCTATTATATACATTGTCATTATTGTAAAAATTTATGAACATTGACAAATTAGTAAAATAATATAAAATATTGAAAATCAAGTAATTAGAATAAAAACAAAAAATTGTTATACAAAATTTTAATTATAATTACAATTATTACAAGTGTTATCCTCGTTTGTGTATTATCACCTATGATTGGATAATGTAAATTTCAAATATAAATTATATTAAAAAAAGGAAGAAAGAAAAGTATTTTTTAAATTTTTATTGGAGTTTATAGAGTTAAAATAAATTTTTACTTCGGAGTTGTATCTTCATATTTTAAAGGAATTTTCATCCAACAAATATAAACATTTTAGCAGCGTTATTGTATTAAAACAGATACATATATAAAGAGAAATGTTTATATCACCTAGAAGGCGAAATATAAAACACGTTTAGGTTTTATTAATGACATAATTCGAAAATCGAATGTTTCTTTTGAAAACTGTATTTTTATATTTTAAGAACTTTTTATCGCTTGTTGTTGAACTTTTATGATCTAGTCTCTCTTTACAAATAGATATGCATTAGTTCAAAGAGTACCGAATAGCAATTCCATGCATTGCATTTCTCGGAAAATTAATAAATTGCATGATATTGAAAGTTCTGCTTACCGGTATTTTTTTTATGCACATCGAACAATTTAAGGGATACCACAAAATTGTAAGACAATGATACGATGACCGGGCAATTTGCCGAACCATTCTTCAGCATCTTTAAACATGTATATGCGCAAGAGTAATATGCGATGTTGCTATATTCTATCGATCGATAGTTAATAGAATAAGAGAGAGGATGAGTGATCAAAGAAGAGATGTTATATATGCGAACATCATAGTGCTCAGTTCGCATGATAAATTGATTAATGAAGAGTATATTAATGTTTAATTGCTTTGATATATATACTATTAAAGATGTAAATCGGCACGATCAACTTGAAATTACTTTGTGCGTTTCAAAAATGATATACTGGAACCAGGATGCTGTTTATGCACTGTCGAGTTACAAAGTTTTGGCTTGGCCTGAGGTAGGAGTTCGGCCAATTGATGATGATATCTTTTATTCAAAGATACGTTGCATTTTTGCAATCGTAAGCGAGGTGAGAAAAACTTGCATTTCTGAACATTCATATATATACATATATGTATGTATTATAATACAATATTATTAAAAACCATACTAATTATATATTGTCTTTAAGAATTTATAATAAAAAACTCTTTATATAGTAAATAAAAGAAAGTATATAAATATATTTAAGATTTATTATGCATTTTACATATTAAGTAAAAAACTACATGCATATACAATGTATATCTTTTATTTTAACAATGCATCTGTAAATACACCTTTAAAGTCATTATATGACATATCATTATATTATATTTTTAATCATGCAAAATGTGTAAAATTATATATATAAAAAATTATATATATAAAATTATATATATTAATTTTATATATATATATATATAAACGTACATCATTTTATATAAATATGTATATATATGTATATATAAAAATATATTAAAAAAAAATTAAAATTTAGAAAAGAATAAATCTGTTAAATAAGAAGAATTACATTTTTTATGCAATATATTACGCAAATATATAGATTAGAAAATTATAAAATATAAAATTATAGATAACATTTTTTTAATCGATTTTAACAATCTATAATTTTAGATTTTGCTGAGAATAACACTGTTAATGGATGTCTACCTTGCTTGCGAGAACTCCTCTGAAGATCCGATTGATACATACGTAGTGGCCTCAAGTGCAATATTGGTATTCATCAAACTCACCCTGCTGCGGATGCAACGATCCACACTTTCAACCAATTTATACGCCGCCATTCGTGTAGTGTTGAAGATGCGAGGTCACGTGAAATTATGATCCAGTATGCACTCACGGCGAGAATAATTTCTCTGTCCCTGTTTTATTCCGGATTCTTCGCTTTCACATTTTATTTATTGAGACTTTTACCCTTCGTAAACGCGATTGCCAACGGAAGGACGTATTTTCTTCCAATGTCTCTTGTCTCTTTGAATCCATCTCCAATCTTCAATATGTCTTCATTACGTTCTACCAGGTGATTCAATTGTTCATCGCATATGCTGGAAATTACTGTACGGAGGGAATTTTTGTCGGTATCACGATGCATCTGTGTGGCTAACTCGAACTTTTAATGATCGATTTTCAGCGGCTCGATCATAGCAAATACAAACGTCAGAGGGGCAACATTATCGAAAGATTTGTCATTAGACATCGACAATTGATAAAACTTACGGAAACTCTCGGAAGATTCTTACAGTATAATCATTTTTGCTCAGATTTTTACCAGTGCCATTTTGATATGTATAACAGGTAAGCCCAAAAGTACTTTTATGATTTCTTTATGTCTAAGAAAACTTATCTAATTTCTTCTTGTTCAAAAGTAAAATTTTTAAATTTATGATATTTCATTAATTTTAAGAAATATTAATCTTCAATTAATATTCAATTAATATATAAACGGTGTAAAAGAAAAATATAAAAAGTATGACAATTATTATATAAATTTCTGAAAAAATTATTATTTTAATTACAATATTATAAAACGCATATTTGGATATTAAGGTACAATTAAATATTATATTAACAATTATTTTTTTTACAATGTGATATATTTACGTATTGCAGGGAAATCGATGTATTAATTAGTTTCTCTTGAATTTCATATGCATAGAGACAATGGTTGCGTTCAGAAGAAAAAAATAACTTTGCAAATAAAATTTTTTATGATTGGTTTTTACATTTAGATCTAGTGAGGAATTAAGGGAGAACCAATCGTACTAAAGAATTTTATAATATTTGCAAAACTTTTTTCTGCCAAACGCAAGCAGAATTAGCTATACATTTTAATTGAAATAATATTTTAAAACAAATTTAATTCGAAAAAAAATCAATCGGAGAATAAAATGTATTAATTTAAAGCTTTGGACTCATCGAATCTTTTCACATTAATGACACAATTATGATAGTAAAAAGTATTGTAATAATGATCGTCATGTTGCTGCAATGTTTCTTGTATTCATATGCGGGGGATAATTTGAGAGATCAAAGCGAAGCCTTGTCATTTGCGCTTTATGACAGCAATTGGTATGATTTTTCGCCCAACGATGTAAGAGATCTGGCATTTATTATGATAAAAACAAATATACCCATTCGTTTGACCGTAGGAAAATTTTTCTACGTTACACGTGCTACTTTCACGGATATTTTAAAAAGTGCGGTATCCTACTTATCCGCTTTACATGTTATGATTGAAAAACAAGAAACAAACAATTAAATTTTTCTATATTAATATTAAAGATTAATATTAAATATTAAATATTATTCAAAAAGAAACTTCAGAAATTAAATATTAAATATTATTCAAAAAGAACTTGAAACAATATTGAATTTTTTAGTTCTATTAAATAATTTTTAATTAACGTTGCATAAAAACTTAATATTCGTTAAAAAAATAATACATACAACAATTAGAAAAGCTTCTAAAATTCCTTAATATATAAAATAGTATCCTGCGATAAAACATCGTAAATGTAAAAATGATGTAATAATAAATATATTTGTTTAAAATTGATTCAAATTTGTCAAACAATAGGTTTTAATATATAAAATTACTTACTTGTAACATATAATCTTTTAACCAATTTTATAATTTTAATTTAGACCTGCAGAACAAAATGTAAAAAATAATCCATTTAGCTATAGACGTACTTTTATTTTTAGATGAAAAAAATATATTTGTAACTTAAAAATTGGCAAAATAAAATAACATAAAAGATAAGCATATATATAAAGTATTTTTTCTTTGACAGTTTGTGTACAGTAAAATAAAAACTATCGTTCAATAAGTGACAATTTGAAAACAACATTGTCTCGATCCTTCCTAAACATCCTGAATACTTTTGGGTAACAGCACAATTTTCTATACTTTGCGATAATACGTTAAGTATGTAGAAATAGGCTGACATACATTTCAAGTTAAATAAAAATGAATCGGAATATATGCGTTGTATCGATGCACCCAGCATGCCGGTTATTGACAGCAGTTACAGTCATTATCTAGACCCGATGGCAAGTGAACAATGGAAAAATGACGTCGCATACGCGATGACCCCTTTTAAAATAATATCGTGGCCCATCGGCGTCTGGCCACTTCAAGTTTATAATGTTTATTCGTTTATACGATGTGTCTTGGGTACCTTGTCCGCGGTATGCACCTCTTGAATTCAGTCTCGATGATCACTGGTAGCGCGATCATTTGAAGACAACCAATTTCTATGTTGATATCATATCATCTGAAAACATGTCAACAGGCCCTCATGGTCGTCATGCCTTCCATCGAGATCTACTTGGGCTGCACTAACACAGAGACAAACGTAGACTGTCTTATGCTAATCTGTTGCGGAATACTTGGTATGGTGAAGACAATATGGTTCCGTATTTATGCAAGAAATTTGACTAACAATTATGGTTCTGCTGTGAATGATTACTTGACGATTGAAAATACGAGGGAACGCGCCATCATGCGGAAACACGCTTTCATGGGAAGGTTTCTCCTTTGTTTAATTTTAGGCTTCGCTTATATTAGTTGTGTGATATATGCGCTAATCCCTCTACTGGATGATGATGAAATTGAGCAGGTTAATATAACAAATGAAGATATTACGCTGGAATATCCAATGCCATCAAAATGCACTATAAAATATTTGAATACTTCAATGAACATGTATAGAATCTTTTGTCTCATTGAAACTATCGCCTTAATACTAGCCAGTACTACTAATCATGGTAATTTTTTTTATTATTTGATATCTGTGAATACTTTTTTGCTTAATAATATATTTAAAAAAATAACAATTTTTTAGTTACGAAACACTTGTATATATCTATTTTAGGGGAATTTTTATTTTTATTATTAATTACAAGTTAAATATTTATTATTAGTAAT